TTATTTATGGATGAAACAATAAGTAAGCAGCAAAAGTATGGTGTACCAATTCTGTATGAAACTATTACTTTGTGTTTAGTTTAGCTAACAAGTAAAAAATGTATTTTTTACGATGGATTGATTTATTTGTCATATTACCTAAATGACCAAACTTCTATCTAATGATGTGACTAAATGTATTATTACTTATCAGAAAATATAACCTATTTAAATACAAATATGCGATTGAAATAAAATGTCTGTATGTTATTCGTCTAATGAATCAAGGACAAGTGTAGATATTACAAAAAACTTATAGTTATTGATCTTGGCTTGTGAAGATTAAAAGTTATTTGTCATTCACAGACAAGACCGTGCAATAGTTTTGAACCAGAAATAGGACTCTTGTCTACTCGTCTGATTAGGGAATTCAGCGAAACGATACACCTGGCGAAAAATTTACAGTTGATAATTTGAAAACGTTGAAGAGCAGGTAAAGCTTCATATTTTTGTAACAATTTTATTTAAGTAAGCAATGATACTTAGTAGTTCATTTTGACTACGATTTTCTAATCATAAGCTCGGTTCGAATTCCTTGACAGCAAGTGTAGTTGGGACAAACTTTACTTTTAACAAGTCATCGCTCTTTGACATCTGTATTTTACACATCCCATTTATATTATGTTCACTCAGTAGATAGTCTCAACCATTCTTTCTTTGGTAACGTGGATAAATAAGGTACATTGCAGTTGATTGCCCAAGTTAATTTAACGCCTATCCCATAAACATCTGTAGGATTATGATATTTCATATAATATCAAAATCAAATAAAATTATCGTTTTAACTCTTAGTTTTGAACCCTATTTGTTTGAAAGCCACAAGCATAAAAATGGTTTATAAATATAAAATATTTAAATAATGTAGCATTGAGTGGGATAATATTTCCACATTCTACCAAAATCTTTTTTAGATTTAGTCATTAATGCTACTGTTAATCCATTTTCGTTTAACGTATTTGATTCTCCTTATATTCAATTTTCTTTCGATGACATGCAGCATGTTCGGTCATGTACTTAGTCAAGGTAATCATGTACTACATGCTGTATGGACTGTTTTTAAGAGCTTTATCCGATAGTCAGCGATATATTTTATCATACACCTCAATAGTGTGATAAGTTTTATTCATCTAAAATGAATTTTGGTTTCTTATCAACCCTCCTTTTATCCAAAGCCCGGATTAAGTGAAGTAGTAGATTTTATAAGTATTAAATGTTATCTGGCTAATTCCCTCCTAATTTAAGATATGTGAACCTGAATTTTAATGGACAATGAGTACGTTAAACATAGGTTTCAAAGGTATAGATAAAGCTTGCGTCTTATGTACCCTGTAACGTTAATTACAATTATGAAAGCTAAATGGATAAAGTGTTAATGGCCCACAAATAGGTAGGATAAACAACTGTTTCATTCACTGTGAACTTGGGTGTGAGCTATACTCTAGTTGTTAGAGCTAAAGATACTACCTGGTTAACTAGACAAAGTACGTGAGCGAGTTCGAGCCTAAGACTTAGTAGTGACACTACTAAGCTTCCCAAAAATAAGTACAAACCTGTGATTGGAAAGCGAATAACAATTTGAATGATGAAAACCAAATCCTATGGCTACTTCTTTTAGTGTGTTCAGTTTATGTAACTCACACATATCGAATAGTTAGTATCTTTAACACAATACTAATAAAGAATGTTTATTCCAGGGTCACGTTTGCCTACAATATTATGGGTTTCAAGAACACTAGAAGAGTTATTAGCTCGCAATAATCGCCAAGTATCAAAATTACCAGCCATCCCAGAAGTTGGATTATACAGATAAGATAAGAGCACTCATACCTCTGCACTGAATAAAGACCCTTGTTGATGTATGTTGGCTTTAGTTAAGTATCGAATGATTTTTACAATTATATTTAGGAAATTTATGATCTAATAATTCGACATTTAAGTGATATGAGAATAAAATCGTTATTCACCTGTTTTGCTGCGATTTATTGGACTTCTTAGGACTAGTTGTTAACTTTTGGTAATTAGCAGACATCATAGATGAGTAACAATCAGATGTACAGAACTAATATATCTTCATATATTTTCCAATTTATTATTAATTCAGTTTAAAATGCTCTGTATGTCAAGCATTTTAAAATGGTAGAATATGTTCAATATATTATTGAAGGCAACAGCATAGACATTACTAGATATTCTACATACCTGAGCACTTTTGTTATACATTAAAATGACTACGTTTATACTAACAACAACTGGACCACTTAACCTATCCAATTCGAACAATTTTTGGTTCTAGAGACATCGAGATCACTGTATAGCTCCCTTTTAGTGATCCGCATGGCATTGATGGCGAATTTCTTTGCATGAGTAAGTGGATTTGTACTGACCTATGTTAGTAGGAATACGATACGTCAACATAACATCTTTTAGCAAACCTTGAGATGCCGATAACAATGAATGATCAGTTTTAAGGAGCTTCCCTTCATTCCAATTGCTCCGTTTCAGCATAATAGCTCCTGGTCGCTAACATAAATGGGGAACTGTAGCATTCGTGTGAACCAATGATTCCTTTGTACTTGGTGACTGTCCGATTTCGAATTCAAAATACAATACGTTCCTTCATGCTCACTTAGTTCTATTTGGCCTTACTTGTGTTATTTCTGGTTTGTATAATTCAAATTATCACAGGGACTTCTGAAGTTCGTCTCAGTACCATTTTCAAAAGATTTTTGTGGTTGTAAGAAGCTGTGAAATCAATCACAAGAAAATGACTTAGTGATCATTAGACATCACTATTAGAACAAGAAAAACATACAATCACCTAAGACTCGTTATCTTGAACTGTTTTCACTAAAACACACTGAAAGTAAGTTGTCAAAAGGATAGAAAATAACATCAGAAGAAATACTTTGAAGCCAAAATTGAAAAAGAAACTATTGAGCTCGTTCGCTTCTATGCATTGATTGTTTGACTCACAGATACCCAAGCACAAAGAAGCCCTATATAGGACTGAGAGGAAGGTCAATTCTAGCCATCAGGAGCTCAATCTATTTTAGCTTTGCTCCAAATAGTGTACAGCCTTAGGCAGGCACGCACACATGCGTCAAATGACCCGGCGGAAAAAGACTCATTCCTTTCAACTCTCAATAGCAAGACAAGCATTGTTTTACCAGTGTTTTGCTACGTACCAGACAGTGAACAGCAACTGTTTTTTTTAATAAAGATTTGGATAAGCTTTTTATAATCATGTCAAGTAAGCACTTAGAGCCGGATTAGCTCTCTATGAAAGCTAAATAGTGAATAGATTAAATATTTAACCCTATCCAGTGCTTAGTTTATGTAAGACTCGACTGAATAACAAAATTTTACCACATGAGCACCAAGTTCAGGAAACTTTTTAAAGGTTAACGAATTTAAATTAACATAAAATTTATCCCGAGATGTTTGTAGAATTTCGTAAGTGGAAAACCTAAGCAAATATTGTGGATTTTTGTGATCCATTATCTCTACTGCCTAGTTTGATGTAACGTTCACTACTTTTGTGCAGGTCTTTCAAGGCGACAATACACACCTCGAAAGCAAATTTCTTTTAGAAAGTGACTGAAAGTTTCCAATCTCTTCGAGTGAAGGGGCACTGACTGGCTTATAAAATTTCTAATAAATGAAACATTTAATTTATGTAATCCCTTAATACAACATTTTTAATGACTACTAGGACCCTCTAGCATGACAAGTGAGTTCTTTTCAGAAAATAGTTAAAGCCTGCTCAAACTAATTAGATTAACATATACATATTTTGAAACACTAATGCATATCACTGGCTATTGGTTGAACTTCTTATGCGGGAGTCATAGGAATTAAATAAACCCGTACTGACTCACTAAAGTACACATCAAAACATGCAAGCTTACTACACAACAAATCCCAATAATGTCAATAGTTGAAGTATAGTGAAAAGAGTGCACCGATATTCATTATGACTGATTGCTTCAAAATATAAACCTAACAATGATAATTTAGAACAAAATTTGAGATTTCTCCCTATTAAAGTTTAGAGATATTAAAAAAAGGTAATAAGCATTACGCAGTCATGGAAAACAATTAGACATACTACTAACTTGACTTCACACTTTCGTAGACGAGAGTATACATCATGCATATATAAATGGCGAATCGAAAACAGTTCATAAAAGGTCCAACTACGGCTCACTAAAGGCGATATTATAGTTTCCATGGAAATAATATGCTTGGAAGGTGAAAGATATCGCGATCAATTTGCCTAGATCCTTAAAGTGAAGTGATGAATCGAGTTAGGGAAATAAACCCCTGGTTTAATGTGAGCACCTGAATAATAAGCGAGAAGCTATCTAGTCAAACACAAGAAACAAGCATAGTTGTATTCTAAAATGTGACTGGTTTGTCATCCAAACAGGAGACCGCTTTTAAAAACACTTCTTGAGAAAAAACTCAACAGGAACGGAAAAAGGCGTGTATCAAAAGGAAAATAGTAACCAACTTCTGAGCTGTGAGAAAAAATAATCCGATTTTAGTAGAAAGGAAAGTGGGAAAAACATTTAAAACTAAACACTACTAATTATTGTAATATAACAGCTCTTTGAGTTCTTTCATCTATGAACATATTTCTTCTTTTTTTCGATAAACACTCAATAGATAAATAGACATACACACATACAAGTGAAAATAAATGCTGCACTGAAGAAGTAAGGAAGGAATCACAACGGCATTTCTAAAACCAAAGGTACAACTTTCATTGAACCTTTCTGAACGTAAATAAACACATGGAAAAAACTAGCCAACAGATTAAAAGAATCAACAAATAAATGAAAAATTCTAAATTCTGATTGTCTCTGGCTCCTTTTTCCTCAATAGATATATTTGTGTGATTCTGATTCTTCTATCAGTCTCTCGCGTAACCAACTGGTTGAATAAGAGGAATAAGAGCGTTAGCTAGTTCTGGAGTTCCCGCACATATAACATTTCTCGCCATTAAATCTACAGGTTTACCTAAACAACATTTAAAAAGAAAATATGTAACATTACTGAATTGTTATGACACAGTATTTCAGTTTGGTTGCTCGTTCACAAATACAACTGACACATGCAATTAGGAGGAGGATAAAAGTTTGCACATATAAAAATTATTTTCTAAGCGGATAGTAACAACTGGATGTCAAAATGAAAAGGAATCATTTAGGTACCACTATTTTCCACAATTTTTGCGTAATTAACATCAAAAGTGAGCCTAGAAATATACAATCGGTCATTTTTGGAACAACGTAAATTAAGTCATTACTTACACTTACATGATAGAACTAAGAAAAGAGTAATATTAAATCATCAATGCATAGCTAATTGTTTTGGTAGTACAGCTACCGAATCCGATATCGTATGGTGATCATGTCAATGCCATTTAGCGTAAAAATGTCAAGATACTAGGCTTTACAAAATACGTGTTACTGACTTACATTGAGCTAAGTCAAAAGTCAGAATCGCGTTTAAATGAGGAGATTCAAAGGAACTACATGCTGCGTAACCTTACAGTTTCAAAAGACACCTCGACAATCGGCATAATTTTGCTTGGCTGATAAATATTTCATATTGAAACAAACGAAAATGCCACATTCAATACGTAAATGTGCATTATTATAAAATATGATTATTATTCACATCGTTTATAATTTAGTATTTACAATAAGTTAGATTGATAAACATTAGGAAATATTAGGACTTTCACTGTACAGCGGATGGTGGAACCGTATAAGATGGACGTAACGAAAAATGTTAAGACTTGAAATCAATATTATTGTTGCAAGCTTGCCAGAAGCTTTCATCATAATTTATTCATTAACAAATCTCAAACTAGAAGTGCTGTTCACTTAATATACTTCTTACCAGGATTAAGATATACACAATGAACATATCATGTTCATAATTCCTTCATTTACCTTACCTTTAGTTATTACCGAAAGCAATTTTGAATTTTGAGACAGGACAGGATCACAATATGAGTCACTCAAATGGCAGAAGTGGAAAATTCGTATGAAATTTCACTTTCGTTTACATACAGAAAGATTTATCAGCCTGAGTATTCATGAATAAAAATTGGAGGAATAAAAGTAGATACCATAGATTTAAACTGTGATCATCACTATTACGAATTATACTTAAATATGCATGTGAAATATAAATAAAAATGTTGGAACTCAGGGAAATACATAAATTCTAGACTTCCTTTTCTCTTATGTGAATAACAATAATTTCTTATTCGGATAGACAAGTAGCATGCTGAAAACACAAATTAAACGCGCATAATTCACTTAAAACTTTTGTTTTACTCAGTGGAGCAATAAACCCAAAAAATTGTCAGCGAGCTCCCATACAACCACTTGAATACCACTAACGTGATTGTTAGAGTTGAGATGTTTATGTACAAAATTACAACTTAATTGTCAAAAATAAGTTCTTTTCAAACAATAAATCATTCATAAGACGATGATAAATAAACTAGTACTCAATCACGGTATGTAACTTAAGTCAATGGATTAAGAATTGGAATTCTGATCCACATTCTTTATTCTCACCAAATAATTACAATCACAAAAGGAAGTTATTTGCCTAATTACACAGTAGTTTATTACCGAATTCTGAAAACTTATTTTTCGGCATAATACAAATGTATAAGCTCGATTTGTTGAAGAAACGAAACCAAAAACTTTGAACCACATAACGTACCGTCAAAATTACAACAAAAACCTCCTGCTTCACGAACAATCAATACAGCTGCGGCATAATCCCAACAGTGAATTCCAAATTCGAAAAATATATCACCATTACCGGCAGCAATCTGACACATATGCAAAGCTGCTGAACCCATGGTGCGCACTCTAAGTTGCAAAATAAAAAATTACTCAGTCAAATAACTTTCAAACAATAGTTTTACGTTTGAAATACCAACAACTAATTTCGGCAATGCTAATTTTTAAAAAAATCAAGCTGAATGATCTGACATGATTTCCAGACTTTCGTAACTTGAAAAGCGCCTGGATTTCACAGTACAGGCGCAATATTGGCAATTAATACTGATATAAACAAAACAGTAAATAAAGGATGGTAAGATATTTTAATATGATTCTAAAAACTTCCGTGATTTGTGACAAAAATCACTATCCATAACATTCGATTGAGTTTTAACGTCCTGTATGCTACAAAGAACTGTTTACACAAGTTCCTGAGACTAAAGCGAACCTAATGCAATGTTTTTAAAACTACTGTGTAATCCCATCATACTGGGTTTTTATCCACTTAAACACAAGTAGTATTTACAATACGATTTCGAAAATTACTGCCAAAAATGGTTATTAAAAGGATTTAATCATGAACTGACATCAGTTGGAAAACTGTCGAAAGCTATGGAGTATTAGACAAATGTTTTGTCGTCTGCACAGCACTTTTCAGTAGTGCACACTCATGATACAGGACTATCAATTCTGGTGTCGAGGACAATAACGTTGATCCATTAAGTAGGAATGCAGTGGTTAACAACCCCTATTTGAGGCAAATCTGTGATATAGTACAATTACCACCAAAACCATCTAAATTTATATATTTTCACGATCATTCTCGGTAAAAACGATATTTTGGGAAGCAACTCCAAAATCAATGCAACTCTAAACAAATGTTCTGTCTATAAGTTGAATAAATTTACATCGTACATTGTTTTCATAATAAAATAATAACCCCAGATTATACTGCGTCTCTCACAGCACATTGGAAGTAAAAAAAAGCTTGAGAAATGTAGTGAGATTACAAACAAAATCAAAAAGGAATGCTCATGTCCGACGCCACATAATTTTTGGAAACGAAGTCGCAGAACACAATAAAGGGTGAACTGCGAGTTTGGCGTAATAACAATAAACAGTACTATGAATCTTGGACCACGCAGTTTTAGAAATAAAGTCTCAGACAGATAGTTTTGTTACATCCTAGTACATTTATCAATTTATTTGGAATCCCGGAAACTATAAAAGTATATGAGATCGAATTAAAAGTTGTTTAATATTAAGTGGACTGACTACTAAGATCATAAAGTATTGTTATTATGAATGACAATTATGGTTCATTTGTTATTAAAACGCTTTGTGGGACTGATTAATTTGAGTGGTTTGTTCAAGGATACATTGCATTAACCTTAAAATTTGAATTATTTGTATCAGACAAATTTAAAATTGTATGTACTCCATGTTTCACTAATGTATTCTGATCTCATGCCATTGCATAAAACTATGGTGGATCTCTAGTCCAAATTGCCCATTTGGAATAAGTTTAAAGTATAAGCTGTAAGTAGACAAGAATTTGCAAAAGCTTTAAAGTAAGTCGCTATGCAGGATCCACTGACGAGAGACACAGAAATATATTGAAGTTGATTGTCTGTCATTCTTAGTTCCAACGAACATTTAGTGATCTATAGTGTCTGCCTCATAATCTTGATTTCGCCTATTCTCTAAGCGACGAGAAAATACATCTTTTAAATCCAGTCAGTAACGCATTACTTGAGTAGGAACTGGCTCACCGATGTTTCCAAGTTACATAAACACAGAGATGAAAGTGGTATCAATAAGTGTATTGATGACTAACTGATGGTAAATGTGTAAATAATTAATATAGGATTCCTCACTACCTAATCAGTGAATATTTCAGAAATATCTAGACTTTTATGCTATCTAGTTTAAATCAGTGATTTTTAGTCATTTTGATCTTTGACTCGTGAGGTCTCAGGAATTACGATATCAGTTTCTTAGTGTAATGTTAAAAATTACACAGGCAAATCAAATTCGGTATTTATTCATTGAATACCTGTGGATTATGTAGTGACAAAATGTGATTTTATCTCTTATAAGTTAATGAACTTTCAGTGGAATAGTATATCGAAGGATCGACATAATTATAGATTACACGTTAAAATTTAAGTGCTCAGAATTCTCTCAGTGAATTATTAGCGGGCAGCATTCTTTAGTTTGAGGATACCATGTCAACCGTAAATACTTATTTTCTTATACTTATGTGTGGATTTTGGGCACAATTTCATTCGGACGGTGATTTCTCAGAAAAGTACGATTTATCATAATTTAGTTAAATTATTCTTGGGAATTACTTTTGATACAAACTGAAAGATATTTCATTGGTAAATAAACTGGTTTACATTGAGAAAAATATGGATGCTGTCACTCACCAATTTTATCATTTATTTACGACATTAATTTAGCCCACTTAAATAACCTGTTTACGGGGATAGTAGATGTTCTGTTTCAACATCAACTACTGAAATGTTGGTCCATTTACAATTTCTCATGCAAACTATTAGTTCTGATTAGTAAGGAAACCATCTACTTAACAGTTTGCTATAAACAACTGAACTATCCTCGTTTCCGTTCTTTGAGTTGTTTCCTCTCCAAAATATCCACTCAGTATCCTTGGTTCCAAAGAACCTTTAATGTCTGCTCTACGACCACGACTTCACCTATTCTCTAAGATATCTTTGAAATCTAGTCGGTAAGCCATTGCCATAGTAAGTAAGTTACATAAACGGAGAGATGACTAACTATAGGGGACGTGCTTAAGAATAATGACAATTTGCGCGAAATAATATTAACACGAGATAAAAAATGAACCCATATGTGCCACTCCAACCACTAATTACGATTGTCAGGCGCATTCCAGCCACGTATTTTGTACCTACTCACATACTTCGGACCAACACTCAATGACTTTGTAGGCTGATGACGTGTATTGCTTTGATCGCCCCTACGCCAAACACCATCGCGTGTCGAGGTAGTCATTGGTTTGGCATATGTAATATATATTCTAGTCACCTCAGTTGAAGAATATTCACAGCCTCATCAGCTGACTTGCCATATTTACTTAGTGAGTTGTTTTACCACACACGAAGACCTCTATGATCGAATATTAGTAGTGTAGAAATGTATTCTACTCTTGAAAGCCATACTTCATAATCATAGAGTAAAACCCAGCAAACTCCTACATAGTATACTCGCCCCTTAACAAGTAGATAGGCATCTCTCCTACCCCATAGGTGCGAAAGCCAATCTAAATTTGCTTACTCTTCACCCGATGGTCACACTAGGGTTGGATGCAGAGCGGTCCTGAAACAGTTTGCACTAAGAAGTAAAGTGACCCGTCTCAAGCATTCTTGTATTGTTACTCAAACTGTTCAGAACACCATATATCGTCGGCATCTTCAGCAGACAGAACTACATTAACTGGACACTAAAGTAATTAATGAGTCAAATAGTAGGTTAACCCTTGAATGTCAGGCGGATGAAGTGCTATTTCTAAGTGTATAATCGTGGAAAAAAACTGAATAAATGTTATTATCTATCTATTTATTTATTTTAACACATAGATATTGGTATAAGGAGGCACCAAATACATATGCGCCACACAAATCTCATTTGATATGTGCGAGGGCTGTGATACTGCGCAGGTGCTCAAACTGAAGCAGGTGGTTTTCTCGGGGGACCACACCCGGAGCCTTCGACCTGAAGGTCTGATCCACAAGGTAGTGGATCAACGTAAGGAGATGCAGTCCCATGGTAGCCGGTGACCAACGATTGGTTCATACACCATTTGTTCCTTCAGGATACTGGAGCCCATGTGCACCATTGGTTTTGAATCAGTTTTCCAACTCCCCTAGGTGGACTCTCCCTTTCCACCAACCCGGTTAAAGCACCAGGCATTCGCTTTTCGTCCTCTCAATTTCGTAAACAACACACCCGCCACGAGAAGGCAGTATTAGGACTTCCCTGGCAGAGGCTATATACGCGTGGCCATGTGCGAGCATTTCGAGAGGGAGAGCGTACTCTCCCCACTCTCGGCCGTACCAAGGCATTTGGAGTCTGTATGATTTACACTTTTTGACGCTTTTCCCAGGACCTTGATCAAGAAATTAGAATGCCGAGCATAAATTAGAATAGACCCTGGTGACAACTCTGTTGTTAGTTATATCCATAACCAACCAATCAATTTTTTGCTTAAATGCCTATCTGGCTTAATGTGTCTGTAGACTATCCCTGTTGCATGTGACCTACCAAATGAAGGATATTATTATCCTATTAAATTATTGACTCATGATTTTTATTCATTTCGATAAGACACGCAATACTGGTCGGTATGTTTAGGCGTTTCACTTAATGACTATAATTCCTTTAATTATTATACTAATCGGATTATTTTTACATTTAGAAACATAACGTTGTCCTTGTTCTGACTATAGCTTTCACATAGACTCTGGGGTCGCCAGTATCGCGTTTACAGTTCTAGTAGAATATCTGTAGGACAAATTAAATCCTACATCTATTATCCTTCGAACAGAATGAAAACTTTTTATTTTTACTTGGACTTCGTCATTTCTTACTTCTTATAATCTCTTTTACCGATTAGCAATATCGTTTCCCGTCTCAAGCAGTCCATTTTTCGGTGACTTATTATATCAAAAACGTTGTTCTAGAATCAATTTAATGTAACTGGACGAAACAACGCTCAATGTAGTTGAATAAGTTAAAGCCAGATATGATACCACTATATTCTAGAAGAAATCTGCTTGATAGCCGGAAAGCATAAACCGATAGTAATTCAAGACTGAACAATTCAACTTCTGTCACTGATGGTGGCATTTAGGGTAATACTCTAAAAAAATGTTTGCTATACTACTGATTTTTATGTTCATACAACTTAAATGGTTGTGAACAATGATAGTATAATACGAACATTATAAAGACTGGTAAGCATAAGTCCCTAATGACTATGAAAACAGCATAAATTTATAACTGATGAGTATGTTATCTTTTGATAATCATTATTTGGACCACACAGTTTCATTTTGATAATGGTCAATTATTCGAGATTGCTTGGATTTGTTATCAGTTGGGTTTGAATTGTTTATTTTAGTTACCCGTATGGTCAGTACTTCGATCTCCAGAAAGTTCGAATTCAGTGATCCATAAGATGGATACTTCAAATTACTTGAATCAGTACTTGACTACACTCAGTATGTCGTATCGATTAACTATGACAAAAATTGTTTTATTTATACCTTTACTGTTTACATTTATCAAGACTGTGATTTTGTATATTTATTTCAAGCTATGGTTTGCAATACCTACCTACTTTATGTTTCCTAGTGTTTTCCCTCTGCAACATTTCTAGCCAATTAACACCTATTTTTAGTACTAACACGAAACCTCAGTTAGCATATTTGGTGGACATAACTACTGCAACAACTACACATGCTTTGCTGAGATTAAAACCAATCACGAAGGAAAATGCAGAGTAAAATGAACTTATCACCATAACCATTTGTATATCTGAGACTATTTAGTCTCAGCATCAATTATTGAAGTGCTTAAGTCTAGTTGCTCCACAACTACAAAGCATAATGCATAAAGAAGCGGATGACTGAATTATTGCTTGAGCAGAAGTTGTGTGAATCTGCTGAAAACTGGCAAACTATATCAAAGCCACAGAAAAGTGCACTAGTCACATTTTAGACTACTCAAATTTATAGATAATCATTGGGAATTCTATTTGCCCGAATACAGCGTATGAGAAAGAAAACCACCTTGATTTCGCAAGTAAAACTAAGGCGACCTTTAGTCAACACCGTTAAGTCATATCAAATTATTCGTAGGAAATTCTGTTTATTAGATTTAAGATGTAGTTACTCATTTGATTTTAAATACATTTCCCTGTACAGATTACTTAACTGGTTTTGTATTCAGTGATAATTACTCAGTTAATGGTCACTGAATAATCATTAAATTAATAAATCACTGGATTGACTTTGATACAAATCAATCTTTGGTTTTTTCTAATAAGTCTTTGTGAACAAGATTTATCATTTGGTGTATCTGGGCCTAAAATAGAGTCGTTATGTACGGTATCGATGTTGTCGTTAGGGTTATCACTATTATCTTGCTTCATAACGAGTATCAAGAAACGAGATTTAGAAATACTAGAAAATTAGGTGAATTTATAAATTATGAACGACGTGTGTGACGCTAAAGTGACCTTGAAGATGTCCATCTAATAACTAGGACTAAATGAGGGTTACAAAACAGTGTGAAGAATTAGAATTACGATCCAGAGTTGATGGTTAGGGCTAGTTATTACATTTACGGCTTCAGTCACGAACTGACATCAGCTAAAATGTAGAACGCTAATCAGTCAAATGTATGAATGAATTTCGCTCCAAAACCCAAGACTCGTCATCTTATATCTGACTGATTCATCCATAAATTATATTCTCGCCAAAAATTGTTATCACTAGACAGAACATTAATAAGTATGAATGAAAGCTGTCTACGATTTAAAGACAAAGCACTAACATAGTTGTGTTTTGTAACTTGTTCCAACCTAAGTTATCAACGACGGTGAGACTAATTTATGGACGACTTTTGGGCGGTGCTAAAATGAACTTGGGAATGTTCGGCTACATACTAGTGTTAAATGATGGTTATAAAGCAATGTGAAGAGTAAAGATTACGATGTACAATTGATATTTATGATTAGGAATTAGATTTAGGGTTTTCATCACGAACTGAGATCAGCTAAAATGCAAAAACGCTATTGAGACAAATGGGCGAATGAAGTCCGCGCCAAAATCCGAGACCTGTTATCCTAAATCTGAGTGGTTCGTCCATAATTTACAGTCTCGATACAACAAAAAATGATTAAGTATCAAAAAATTCGTCATAAGATGGACGGCTTACCCACGAGCTTTCGATATTATTTGGCGAATATTGTTTGACTTTATATCTAAAACACTTGGATTTCGGTCACCTCCCCAGTCGGTCAAAACCAAAGCCTGAGACAGATCTAAAAAAAGAAGCCTATCAAAAACTTGCTTCAAAAGACGCCATACCACCGAGAATTCATACATATTAATGGTATTAAGGGTCGCATTGGTACTCTTTTGTGATAGTCAAGAAAAATAAGTTTCACAGACAACCCGTCTGCGTTGAGCCAGATATTCACATTGTTTTATACATTATTTTCTACATTATATCTCAACCATTGTTGGATGTATTTGTCAGATAAGATACAGTGGCATGATTTACCGTGATCTTTTCGCGATCAAATATATAAACACTTGTCATTCTGAAATAATATTCCACCATATTCCATGTGAACACAATATGATCTGAAAGGTAGATATAATTTATATCTTGATGTATTCAAGATTCAAAGTGGTTCTAGTCCTTGATTCAGCTTTCCTGAGTCTAAAAATCTCCCATTGACTCATAGTGAATAACGAGGGTGCCTGTATATATCGAGTGATATATTTACTATCTGACAATGAAGGATCATATCGAGAGTCACTTGACAAATACATTCGTACTCATTCAATACAGATACTTGCTGTTACTGACAACTTCCACTAAAACATACTCTTACCCTGAAGTTTTGATGTATGAATTTGTTTGTCATTCAGAAATGCTCCTTGATTACGAATCCCATGAAACAGCCATTTCAATATCGGATTATAAACAACAGCTAGCTCGGGCTGTGAATCTGAAAAAGCATATACAATAACTAACCTCTTTGTTAACATAGTAAGCAATTGAAACGCAAACAAAAGGGAACCTGGGAATTACTTGAAGGTGATATTACCTGCTAACAAAGTTTGAGGTTCCATCAATCGGGTCGATTATCCATGTAGGCGAACAAGTAAGCTCGGCGTTTCCAGAATACCCTTCCTCTGCAATAATTCTAAATATAAGGCGGAATGAAATAAACACTTTTACTTGTGAGTAGGGAACGATGAAAGGATTTCTTGACAGATATAATTCTCCACAGCCTTATCCACTTCAGTTACCAAGTCAGCATATGATTCTTTCTTGTCATACGGAACACTTTTTGAGAAGCCAGCTTCAATCATCTTTTTGTTTGAGAAATAAGTATAAGAGTAGCGTACCTTCCCGGCTTTCACGGCTAGATTACTAACGAACAAGATGTCAGCCATGACTTTGTAATTATGGAAAATCTTGAAGGTTGCATGTTAGTGAAACTGGTGATTTCAAACACTAATCACCAGATATCCACAATGAAACTGAAGGTAGCTTTGAAAATAAAAATGGTCTTAAGGATGATAATTTTCGGTTGATTTATTTACAGTGAATCGCCTGGTTCTTTCCAAAAACATGATGATGAGAACCTTGAAGAAACCCAGTAATTTAACTTTATCAAATGTATCCGGTATCCTTTTGACGATCTCTCATTGACCGACATATTTACGCTTGTCTTTTGTTGTTTCGGCATGGTTTCGCTTCTTTTACTGTGTCTAATAGGTGACGTTTAGCCAATTTATTTCACCAATTATATTTGGCTTAGTAGTTATTTATAGGTTTGCATATCTTGTAATCTGAGTGATTGCATTCGTGTTAGAGCAGTGAAGTTTTTTAACAAGCAGCTGACACCCGCCAGAAAGTTGACTAATTGGCCTTAATGTGAAACATTTCAAGGCGAGAATTAGAGTACTAAGAGAAGACTATTGTTTCAAAAGATAAATTAATTAACAAGTCAATTGATTAGTGGTGTAGTGTGAGTAGATAATAATTTAAGCTTAAAAAGGAAAGCGTATATGATACAAAATGATGTAAGAATGAGTTAATGATATATGATAGTGACAAATGTAATTTACGTAACATTCTTAAAACACGACTAGACCAAGCGGCAGATGGTGATCAGTGATAAAGTAAGTGTTAGTCAGATTTCCTCTTGAAGCTAGCTGTCAACAGAAGTTGCCGTGTGCACCTCGGCTGGGAGGCCATTCTAAATGGGGGCTACTCTTTATGAGAAAAAGTGGGGGCATACCTGCATTTTTTCCTCTTTCATCTGCAATGTTTTTAGGGTGCCTCTAGGAAAATGTTCTGGTGACTTGACGTACTTAGTATGTCGTGGTTTATTATCAGATCGCTTCTTCTATTGTGAGAATAACTTCAATTTTCGAAGCGTATCTTCGTAAGACTTGTTTCTTAGTTGTATCATCTACTCAATCACTCGTCTCTGTATTTCAAAAATGTTGTGGACTGCAGCATGAGATCATGAGTATACTTTAAAGTGTCAGAAACAATTCTGTAGTGATTACACCAAGTTATCTTTGCATGAGGAAGTTGCATTTGCTTTACTGCTTCCTCATAGTAGTTTGAACAAGTATTTAATCTCTTTGTGATTACTAGTAATTGATCTTGCTCTGAGGAGACAGTCAGGAACGTATTTTAGTAGATGTAAGTTATTTGTGTCCCACGGACTTAATGTCATGACATTTTGAAAGGTTAGCTTGTGACTCACTGTCTACTACCTGTTCTTCTACTGAGCAGTCCTTTCGGAGCTCAGGCGAATCTTTCTTGTTTCTTATGGACTTCAATAACCTTGATCCGCCATCATATATTACTACATCTGAACTAATATCACCTAGAAGGTCATTGAAAAATATTCAGAAGAGAAGTGTTCTTAAGTTGGTCCCTGTGGAACTTCTGGTGTTTAACCCTCCGGCACCTGCGAAATCTATTTACCTTAGTGCGGAGCATCCTGACTTCTAGGTGGTCTTGGAGTCATGATATGAGTGAGTCGGTAAAACCCACAGTTCTGTCTTCGCCATAGGAATTGTGCGCAATACCACCTGAAACGCTTTCGTGAATTCGAGGGATATAACATTGACCTGTTATTTTAGGCTTCGACAAGCTGTCCAACTGTTCCTTGAAAACGTGTAGGACTTTTTTGTCCCGAACATGAGCTGTGCATTATGAAGGAAGTTACTTTCCCACGTATTCATTTCCGTTTCTCGTTATAGTACTGACAGTCATACCTCTAGTCTATAACAGACTGTGTCTTACCGATAGTTCTGTGCCTCGTTTAGCCCAAGATCTTTCCGCATGGGTTTATTTCGCTTGGGGTACGTTTTGTAGATTAGCTTCCTGAATAATGTGCCTCACTTTATCCCAGCAGTCGCCCATTGTTAGCATCCAACATTCTCATGGCCATAAGGCGTATTGAAGATTTGCTCTCGTCGTTGTAAATAATTAATATGTATTCGGAGCTTGACAACGTCTTTACACTTAACACCTTTATAATCGAAGTATAACAAACCGGTTAAATCAGAAGTCGAGAATGAATGAATGCAAAGATATTTAGTGGCATTGGACCATAACCATACTATCCTCAAAGTTGGACACGAGACTACTTAGAAATAACCAACGATAGAGAAGGCGGGAACAAGGCATAGCTCGGCCATGCAGGCGTGGTCCCTGCTGAATGTTCCCTCATATCCTTAATTCATATTAAATATATTATCCTATCTCTAACCTAAGCTTGTTCTGCATCATGTATTGGTGATTGTTACGACACGATGAGTTGGTGTAGACGATGGTATGGCTTCTACGTAAGATCTTATAGATTAGGCAGTTATATCATGGCAAGTCTACAACTTTAGGATTAGTTCTATTATTAGCGCAGTACTAATATCATAGGAGACAATAATTCTACAGATATACCGATATGTCAAGAAGCGTTTGATCTAAGCTGGCCGACTCTTACAGGGAATGTTTCACACAAAGTATCCACTCATGATATATCTAACACCATTAAATTCGGGAAACCATACTTATGTGGTGATGATCTCAAAATAACATACAGCCATAAGCCTGAGACACTAAGCGAAAGTGTATCCCAGATCCAAAAGGACCTCAATAACTTAACTATCTGGAGTGAAAAATGGCAATTACCATTTAACCGCAACAAGTGCGGGATCATGCACTTTGGAAGGCATCCCTATGAACTGTAACTTTACTTAAATGGATGTAGAGTCCAGACACCCAAATCAGTACATGATTTAGGAAATAATTACACAGAAAGCCTAAACTTTGAAGAACATGCCTCCTCCATTATTTCTGAATTTAGACAGCCAATTGGTTTTATAACGAAACATTTCTTCACAACAGAGGCTAAGCTTATTCTCTCCAAAATATGTGTACGGCCCTCCCTTGAATACTGTTCTTTTATCTTCCCTAATATGAGTACCACAGACAAGATAAGAGTAGAAGATATCCAAAGGCGCCAACTGCTAAAAAACGACTCCACTCTCGATCACACAGATAGATGAAAGAACCTCTTTTTAGAACCTTTATGGCACCGTCAAGTAAGGAACAATCTAATATTTCTCCACAAAGCAATATATGGACTTTTATTTCCAACCTGCCCGACTATGATCTACGATCCAGCCTATAGACTAATAAACAACGCATATATACTGCTTACCGTAAAACACCAAAAACAAATGCGTTATAAGTTTTTTACAGTGCGGTATAGTTTATTGTGGAGCAGGTTGCCAATACTTTTCCGTAGCTGTGACACTTTTATCAGATTCAAAAGGCTAATAACCGTGTTATTAAACTTTAAAGAGCCTCAAGTTTTCCTTGAACTCCCGCCCACCAATGAGGCACTTTATTATGGACCGCCTAATATCTAGACGGTACAAGAATATACAGAACCCTATTATTATTAATATGAATATAACTAAATTGCAGAACTTATGGTTTGTGTTTTCCTATTATTCGTTGTTTATTATTCATGGCCTTATGCTCGTAACCCTCACTTTCAGATCCCACACCTCTCTAAAGGTAAAGATACATTATTCTTCCTAAGTGTCATACTTATTTCCTTTAACATATTTAAATGCTCTAGCCTAATAAATATCATAATAAAAGAGAGTTAGACTGAGTAATTATGGTTTAACTATTCGTTTATGAACATTGTCTGTTCTGCTTCTCGTCCTTTCTTTTTCTTGGACCCTTATTCAGCCCCCATGAGATATGCCACCGAAAACAGATATGAAACGGGTGACTTCGTCTTGCACCATCATCAAAGCTTCAGATAATCCAGAAGGATATGAGGTTGCGATTTCTAGAAGCCCCCAACATCAATGGATCTATTCTCGACCACAAGTTGCACGTCGCAACGCAACCTTCGTAGGGCGCGACAAGTGTGATACTGACACTACGATTCTTACTAAAACCATCTACATTCATATATCATAAAATACCAACCTAGCTGAGTGGTTTACTACAGTAAAAAACGTATATTTCGTAACAACTTGATCTTGCCTGTAAACTGGCATACCTCATGTAACAAACTGTCAATTGAGAATAAATCACTATTATTACTGATCCAACTTATAAAGTCGCATTGCATTTACTGAGTAACTAACTGTTGGAGAAAATAGTTGTGAAACAGTAAGTGCTAAATAGAGAAAACTGTGGAGAAACAACAATTTTTGTGGAAATAGTTAGCAGTCAGATTATCAACTGATTTGGTTCTTAGTTTTATCGCTTCGATCAACAGTATTACGTGATTGTTAAATGGTAACAAAGCCTAACGGCAATATCAAGAAACAATTACGAATAGCTACTTAAAGTTTTGATTCGGCACTAGCGATGAGAAAAAAGATAGGGTTGCTTTGGATACCAAAGATTTTCATGGTTCATAAATCATTCACATTTATCGATTCGGAATCGTCAGCAACTAAAAAAGGTTGTTATTGCGAGGGTACATTGTCTCAGTTTATGGTACTCAACGGGAATTTCCCGATTTTTACATCCAGCTTTCCCATTGTCTTCCTCTGTTAGCGAAAAAATCTAGAAAACCGATTAAATTCATATGCGAAGCCTGCTCACACTACTCACCTCAGTTAGAGATTCTTCGTTCCTTTATGACACCCCTTCAAACACACAAACCTTTTCAAAATGCAGTGTAAAATATTGGTAAATATAATCCATATACAAATATGAGTGTGAATGAATGCTTGAGTTTTAATGTTCTGAAATTTACTAAGATGTTTGCGGTCAACTCATAACCAATCAGCCTCATTTAAGCTTATTTTCGGATATATGTCATACCTCACACAATCTTTGTGTTTCACAACCTGTTGAAAAACACTGTTTATAACTACCACTTTACAAGCTTATC